AGGATACCTTTGTACAGGGGGAATGGTAGGGTGGTCACTGATCAGGGTACCCAACTAGTGTTAGCTGTATTTTTAAAAAAAAATTAATGTAGAGCACTGACAGTATCTGAACTTGCCTGAACAAGAGACACTTACCGAAACTGCAGTGGTCGCTCTGAGTCACCCTGGGAAGTTAGCTGGGTGGTATCAAGGGTGGGTAGAGCTAGGCCTAACTTTGACTTTAACAATCTGAAAACTATAAGTAATTACTAGTAAAGGATGTACAATTGTATTCTAATTGTGGCATAAAAAGTAACAAAATTAAATTAAAATTAAATTCTACCTTTATATATATAATTATATATATATGATAAAAATGTACCAGTATTTATATATATTTAAAAAAAAATCTAGCTTTGATACGAGCCCCCAATGTGGCAAATATGCTCTAGCGAGTCATACCGCACATAAATAAATATAGCCGCAGCTACAGAATGACTAGTTTAGTCTAGGGTTTGTCTCGTTGGACAAGAGGTCCCTTAATAATTAGTGTTGTGCGTTTATTAATGTTAGGTTATTATTATTGACTGACTGCCGATATTTGGCTCAGTGAAAATGTTTAAAATTATGACTAAGTAATTAACTCAGTTTGACAATCATTTAACTTTTAATGCATTAATTATTGATATAGTAGTACTAATACAACTTGGAGTAGCCTGGAATGGGTGACTGGTCTTCAGGGCGGCGTGGTCACGCTTGCTCACACACCGACCTCTGTACTGTCTAAGTTTCAGCCCCAAGCTGGCCGGCTGTAAAATACATGTGACAACTTCCTAACATATGTGTGATATACACATTCATTCAGACACATACAAGTTTACAATTGTTACCAAGATAATACATTTACATTCACCTTACATAAGGCCTACAATAAACATTACTAGAAAATATGCTTTTCATTCATACATTGTTTTATATTCATTCCATACTTATTAATTAGTATTATAACATTACAGCTAATAAAAGTAAGTGTTAATTACCTTCCAAAGAAGCCACACAATCCTCTACACACGTTGCCAAACGTACGTTTAATTTCTCCGAGGAGAACAAGTGCCGTAGCACCAAAATAATTATAATGTAATAATGGCTAGTGCCTAAGCACCAAAATAAACGTGTACCTCCGAAGAGGGGAGAAGGTAGAGTGACCGGACTGTAGCGTCCCTACCCTACAGGTCACATGACTCAGGCTCCGCCCTCACGACCGCAGTCTGAGGTCGAGGCCCGGTCAGCCTTACAATACCGCCGGACTCAGGTCCAGGTGTGTACCGTTACCTGTGGGGTAGCAAGAAGGGGGGAGAGGTGGAGACACCATGATAGATATTTATAATCTATCATAACAGCTGTTGTCCCTTGTTATATACGGACAGTGTGTGGGGTCTTGTGGCGTGGCATAGTATTCATATGTGTGAGGTTCATGTTGTGTGTACGTGTGTGTGTTTATGTGTGTGTGTGTTTGATTTCATGGTGTATATGTGGATAAATGTCCATAAGTGTGTGTATTGTTACCTGCTCTAGACGGTATACAATGTGTGTGTATCTGTGTGTGTGTGTTTATGTGTGTGTGTTTGATTACATGGTGTATATGTGGATAAAGGTCCATATGTGTGTGTGTATTGTTACCTGCTCTAGACGGTATACAATGTGTGTGTATCTGTGTGTGTGTGTTTATGTGTGTGTGTTTGATTACATGGTGTATATGTGGATAAAGGTCCATATGTGTGTGTGTATTGTTACCTGCTCTAGACGGTATACAATGTGTGTGTATCTGTGTGTGTGTGTTTATGTGTGTGTGTTTGGTTACATAGTGTATGTGTATAAAGGTCCATATGTGTGGGTATTGTTACCATTTCTAGACGATATACAATGTGTGTGGTCTTGTGGCGTGGCAAAGTATTCATAGGTGTGAGGTTTGTGTGTGTGTATGTGTGTGTGTGTGTTTGATTACATGGTGTATATGTGCATAAAGGTTCATATGTGTGTGTATTATTACCTGTTCTAGACGATATACAATGTGTGTGGTCTTTAGGCGTGGCATAGTATTCATAGGTGTGAGGTTCATGTTGTGTGTATGTGTTTGTGTGTTTTTGTGTGTGTTTGATTACATGGTGTATATGTGGATAAAGGTCCATATGTGTGTGTATTGTTACCTGTTCAAGACGATAAACTATGTGTGTGTATCTGTGTGTGTGTGTGTTTATATGTTGGTACGTCAGGTTCAGCCAGGGCGCTAATCCTTTTGATTAGCGGGCCGATTGGTTTATTGTTAACGAGGGTAGAAAAGAAGGGTTAAAGTTGAGACTGGGGGTTAAGGTAAAAGAGGGTAGGAAAGGTAGACAAGAAAGGCTCTTTGTGTAGCACTCAGTGCATTTAGTTCAGTGTTAGTTGAGTTCACTTCGGACTTGCACGTTAGCATTTTAAGTATTGTGTTAGCACTGCATTCTCGCTCTCTCTTATATATATATATATATATATATATATATATATATATATATATATATATATATATATATATATATATATATATTTATTTATATATGTATATATATATATATATATATATATATATATATATATATATATATATATATATATATATATATATATATATATATATATATATATTTATTTATATATGTATATATATATATATATATATATATATATATATATATATATATATATATATATATATATATATATATATATATATATATATATATATATATATAATTATATATATATAATATATACATATATATATATATATATATATATATATATATATATATATATATATATATATATATATATATATATATATATAAGTATATCAAAACCGTGTGTTCAATCCCATTGATGAGCTTTTATAATGTGCTCTATAGTTCGACCACGCCGCTCCCTGTGGCTGTAGGTGACTGGAATTTCAACCAAATACGTATACAAACAACCCTACACGTACCAGTTGATTCACAAGACAAACAACTTAACGGGAATATCACGAGGCACATAATTAGAAATGGCATTGCTACTAAGGGGTCTTAAGTCAAGAATAGGATTACATAATTACAAATGGCATTGCTATTAAGGAGTCTTAAGTCAAGAATGGGATTACATAATTACAAATGGCATTGCTATTTAGGGGTCTTAAGTCAAGAATAGGATTACATAATTACAAATGGCATTGCTATTAAGGGGTCTTAAGTCAAGAATAGGATTACATAATTACAAATGGCATTGCTATTAAGGGGTCTTAAGTCAAGAATAGGATTACATAATTACAAATGGCATTGCTATTAAGGGGTCTTAAGTCAAGAATAGGATTACATAATTACAAATGGCATTGCTACTTAGAGTTCTTAAGTCATGAGCTGGATTATTTATCAAATGTTTACCGTCTTTTCCTCTGCCGCCTTACGTCTTCTAAACCTAACCTTCCCCCCCCCCCCCCCACCTCCACACACACATTCCCCACATGCCCACATGCCATGTAAAATCACACGGCATCGTTGAAACACGATCTAAAAAAAATTCATAATTTATCGATTTTGCAAATGGTTTTGTTTTTAAACGTGTATTTTTGTCCTTGAGAACTACAAGTACACGATGTTACATTTCTATCAACCCTGTCCACTGAAGTTAGCCCAGTGCTACAAAAGTCTAACACTCACTTAAATAGGTGTGTTTTTTTATGTAAATTATTGACGACATCCTTTCTTAAATAGAAACATTTTAAGAAATACCTCCACGGTAAATAGTATTTTTTTCTGGCATCTCTTACCCACTACCCCCCCCCCCACTTTTTTTACAACACCCCTTTCCGGGCGAAATAGAAAAAAACATACAATTCAGGGGCGGAACTACAGTGCCGCCAGACCCCAGGGGGGGGGGGGCACGCCATCTAGGGGCCCATAGCCGACCATAATAATATTTTTTTATAGTTAAACATTTTTTAAAATGTTCTTGCATTTTATGACTTGATGGTTGTTTTGTAAAATGATTACCGTAGCTGCGATTGGATTATCTTTATTCTATAGACACCACCCCACGCCATTGTATATTCTTTTTCCCTGTTTTTAAACCACAATGAAAGCAGAGTCTTTCTCCTATAATCAAACTTATCAAAGATAAGCAAACGTTCAAACCACTTTCATGACTTATTTCCCTTTTTTAAATAGTCAAATAGGGGTGCTCATAAGCTCATTTTTATAGATTTGTACTAAACTAATTAAAAAGCAATTACTTCTCTTAATTATATTTTTTTATAAAATGCTTACTAAAGAATGACATTGTACAAAAAGAAAATGTATAAAAAATCAACAACATAAATACAAAAAACATAAACATAACACGACACACCATTACTTATACAAAGCATTCATGTTTTATTTTATTTTGACCGCCTAGAGGTCTTATAGCTGAAATAAAAATAAAGCTGATTTCCACAAAACACATTAATACACTTAAAAACTTAACGTGATGTTGTAAGTTAAACATTTTTTTTCAAAACCCGAACAGGCCAGCAATGAGTGTCCTATGTTCGTATTTTATTTGTATATATATATATATATATATATATATATATATATATATATATATATATATATATATATATGGGGGGGGGGGGCTAAAACATCTTTTGCGGGATGGTCCTTTTTTTCTAGTTCCGCCACTGATACAATTTACATACAAAATAAATGGTTTTAGTAGTGTCTGCTTCTCCCCGGAAAGTTTCAACCCCTCTACAGAAAGTTTACATAAACCCTCCCTCCCCACCTCGCCCTTGAGGGGAAAATGTCTTTTCGAAACCCTTACTATAATAACAAATGCATAAGTCGCTCTGAATGTCGCATTATACTTTTTATAAAGCCAGCGAATCTCTCGAGTGCAGAGAGAAAATAACTCAAACTCCATTACGTAAATAAACACCGAACCATTTCCCGCGCGGCAGTTGAGAGCAGGCGTTCACGTCCATTCATGTCTGCTACTCCACGCAGTCCGCGCGTAACTCTAACACAGACCAGACGATGTGAACTGGGATCTGCTACCTAGACCGGTCACAATAAAATAGTCTGGTTTATCGTCTGGAGAGCAGCGCTCTCTACTCGGTCAATCCTGCTCAACACTAACACTAAATCTGGTGAGTTTTTGCTCTAAGCATTTCATATAGGCCTACAATCTGGTAGTGTTTTGCTTTAAGCTTCTGTTTACACCGCTAACTAACATGAATTACAATCTACTACGAAGCTTAAACTTTTGAGAAATTTTTAGTTTAAATCTGTTTTACGTGTTTAAGTAAATTTATAAGATTTGTATTGCTAACTACACGGCTGTAAAAATACGTTCTCGTTTAACCCTGCTTATGGTGGGAAGGTTAATTACGTATTCGTATGCCGACTCATCAGTTAAGTAGGTAGGTTAGTAGATAGATTATGTACACGTATACAGTGTTGTATTATATAGCTCATGCACATTATAATTTTATTTATATGCCGGGGTAGGGGACAGCCTCCACCTACCCCGCCCCCCTCCCCCGAAACACGTTTACCGACCCTCCCACCCCCTACCCACCTTAATGAAATAAATAGAAATTATATAAAAATAGTCCCCCCCCCCCATCCCGAAATTTTCAAGTGTCCTTTCCCCGGAGAAAAAGTCTTAAAGAAACACTGGCTGCCCCAGTCCTACCCTAACAACCCCCCATACCTCCACTACCACCCTCCACCCCCACCCCCACGCAATCACCAAACGCTTCAATAAAACTTCAGTGTTAGAACACATATTTGATTTTCACCTTTTAAATATTCGTTGTTCGTTGTTATAATAGATCGTAGCTACTGAAATTTAGTCCTCCATCTTAAACATTAGAACATCCGTGTTAAAAACAAAACATCCGTCTTTTCAATTAGGCCTTGGCTCTTAAACATAGACCTTGTTTGGAAAAAATGTGACCTCCACCATTAAAATTCGATACCGTTATTTAAAAGACCTTCGTCGTTAAAATATACCTTCTCTTTTAAAATTAAAACTTAGTAGTTTGAACTAGACCGTCGTGTTTTCAATTTTACTTTGGCTGTTGATAAAATGTTGGTCCTCGCTGTTTCACACAACCATGCTGAAGTGGGTGTTAGTGGTAGAGACCTCGCTTTTTGTTGAAAGGTCATCCTGCAATTTTAGGGGAGGTCATTGTCCTGATATGAGAGGTCACCCGGTCACTTCAGGGGAGACTACTGTGTTGGTAGGAGAGGTCATCCTGCCATTTTAGGGGAGGTCATTTTGTCTTAGTAATTAACCCATTTTGTCTTTTCCTGAAGTCTAATTATGCATATATATATATATATATATATATATATATATATATATATATATATATATATATATATATATATATATACATATATATATATATATATATATATATATACATATATATATATATATATATATATATATATATATATATATATATATATATATATATATATATATATATATATATATATATATATATATATATATATATATATATATATATATATATTAAATGTAATTAAACCATATGTTTGAAATCCCATAAGGTGCTTTCTGTTTTTGCAATGTGCATACATTTTGAAAATGCTTAAATTCTCTTTCTCCTGAACAATGTTTTAAAAGAAGTTTGGCCAGCACTACAGAAATACCGTGTTAGTCTGGGAGGGGAGGGTACATACACGTGTACTTTGAGAACTCCTGAAAGAAGTATACCTACGTCATATAGAAGAAAGGAAGATTAGAAACAAAAAGAGTTTTTCACACAAAAACACATTTGGAAATACATTATACAATGTTAAGTTGGAACTACATAATACACTGTAAAGTTGGCAATACATAATACACTTGAATGTGTAAAGCGAGACTGTAAATGAGAAGACCTATGTCATTTAAAAATTATTAAAACGTTGAGCTATTAACTAAGATTTTTAGCATTGCATTGTGTTGATGATTTCGTGAAACTATCCACACAGGTAATTATTGTCAGCTAATGAATCTTTGTCCGAAGCGAAAGGCAATGGCATTCTTCACTAATGATTCTTCACTAATGATTCTTCACTAATGATTCTTCACTAATGATTCTTCACTAATGATTCTTCACTAATGACAGAAACAAATTTAGGAGATATATAAGTCAACATGTACTGGACAGCGTGACCTAAGAGAGAAAACCTCGAGTTCGTATCCGGGTTTAAGTAACTAGAACATCATTGAGTCCACCCAGCTCTGATGAGAACCTAACTCACGTTTGGGAAAGTAAAGGCGGCTGGGCAAAGTGCTGACCACACCTTCTCTTCATATGACGGGGTAAAAAACATATGAACTCTACTTTATCTGCCCAACCAACGGATCACCAGGTCTAAAGAGGATTCTCTACTTTTTACTTTGCAAGAAAACATAGGTTATCTATAAATAAAATGGCAAAAATATGCTCGCTATAAATAAACCAGCAATGATAGGCGTAAATATGATTAGGGTGTTTCCCTTTCAACAATGTAACTATTGTATTTTGTTTTATATTATAAAAAATGCTCGTCCGGAAGAAATTATATTGTGGTGGGCAGTGAGGGAGGGTGAAGGCATACAAGACGGGGGTGGGGCAATTTACTGAACATCATACACACACATACACACACAGACACACATACACGCACAAACAAGACGGGGGGTGGTTCAATTTACTGAACATCATACACACACACACACAGACACACACACATACACACACACAGACACGCACACATACACGCACACACAAGACGGAGGGGGGGCTATTTACTGAACATCATGCATTGTTTTTTAAGTGTTGAATGACTCACGTAATTTTATTGTCTTCTGATTTAAGACTACTCACAATATCTCACGTTTTGCTGAGCAGTTGTTGCTATTGTGCTCCAAAACCTTGAGTGCATGAGACATTTTCTGACCCCCACTTGACCCCCACTTGACCCCTGATGTTGACTCCCTTTCTACTTTCTACTGCATGTTTGAAAGTAGTGAAGAACTAAAATGAACAACTTCCTAAAGTTTTTGAAGTATTAGTGAAACAGAAACTCGGCTTCTCATTCATAAAGAAAACGAGTATTTAAAGTCCTGTAATAGTAGTAAACTATGGGGGGAAAAAATGGTTCTTGCTCTCTAACATAGGGGAGATAAATCTTGGGTCGAAAAAATGTTAATTAATGGTAGAAATAAAGGGGAGATTATTCCCCCACCGAGTTTCGGCTTCAGTGCAAATGTAGTGTTGTTAAAGTTAACAGTAGACTAGCAAAGTAGGGAACAGTTAAAGACAACCATTGTAGTAAAGTAGGGAATAGTTAAAGACAATCAGTGTATTAGAGTAGGGAATAGTTAAAGACAATCAGCGTATTAGAGTAGGGAATAGAAAAAGACAATCATTGTAGTAAAGTAGGGAATAGTTAATGACAAGCAGTTTAGTAAAATAGAGAATTGCTTATGACAATATAATTAGACTAACAAAGTAGAGAATAGTAAAATATAATTTAGACTAATGAAGTAAGTTTTACTGTGGCAGTCAAGTCATTACGATGTTTACTTTAATGGAAAATAATATAGCTAAAACAAAACTGTGCTAGTAAGGTAGGCCTACATGGCCAAAGTGAAGTAAAAACATTTGGCGAGAAAAGTACAGAACTGTACAAAAAAATAAGTCTATCAAAGTACAGAGACTGATAAAGTTGTGTAAACTATACGAATAGCTCTACAATGTGAATTAATTAATGGATGCACTTTTTTGTTGGCAGTGTAAGCGTATGACCTGAGGACATCATGTCCTACCCCCCAGGACCGAAAGGACTTCCCATTGTGGGCAGTTTACTCAGCTACAAAGACCACAGGACCAGCCTCCAGTGGACGAAAGAGTTCGGTCCGTTCTACTGCACCTGGATGGGGCTACAGGAGATGGCCTACTTCAACAGCATCGAGCTGGTTGAAGGCTACATGGAGGGGGAGGTGGGGGAGCTGATGCTGGGCAGACCGGAAGGTCCTTTACCTATAGGTCAAGGTCAGTGCTCCAAGAAATTTATTATACAGGAACGTTCTTTTTGTAGACGAGAAGGGAAAAGAAGTGACGAATGAAATCGATTTTTAAAAAAAAATCGACATCGATTTCACCACAACAGTAAAATAGCCTTAACCTCGACCAACTCTTTATATTAACACTAGCCCACACTCTAGTATAAATAGTATAAATATCAACTTAGCGTTGAATGAGGTTATTTAAGTTATAACATCATTGTACTTCTTTCCTCTTCTTCTTCGTTCTTAATTTAGTGTTGAAGGGGATCGAGATTTATCTGCAAGTGGGTTTGAACTTGAGACTTTGTTTGAATTTATCAACCATGAGCTTTTGCCGACTCGACCACGCCTCCAACACAATTAAGCGTTACGTGTCAACTGGTTATGCGCCATAGAGGCCATTGACTCCGATTTCAGCCTGCTCTTCTTTTTGGATTTGCTTCCATAGCCTACATGGCAGCAGTTGTTTAATTTTGGAGTTGTCTCTCCTAGAAGAGTGGCTGTCCCCAGCTAACGAGCCTCATCTGCTCGAGGGTTCGAACTCGAGACTTTTCGGTTTAGCAACCATGAGCTTTACCGACTCGACCACGCCGACCCCATCATAGTACTAATGTAGTCATTTATCACGGGAAATTAAGACGGTAGGGGTTTTAACAAACGTTTTTGATTTTTACAATAAAGTTAATTTAAATTTACGTACATCTCTATCGAATGCGTGTTTAATATGAGAAAAGACGGAACATTTTTTACATAATATATTCAACATTTTATTGTCCAGTAGGCTGGTTCCCAGTACTGAAGATTCGGACACCATCTTCCCAAATGTGGCCCCAGTCTAGCTGTATACGCTTACATTCCCCCCCCCCCGATCACTCTGGGGTTGTTGTTTTTTCGCGGACACACCAGCCACTAAACAGAGGTTAAAGGTCGTCTTAAACGTCACAAAGGTTTGAATAAAACCTTAAACAAATACGAACCGTATATGTCAGTTAGAAGTGTCCGAAATTTCGCTCGGGCGTTTCGATCTAGACAGACAGACAGAGGAAGTGAGTTAAATAAAAGCTTGTAATAAAACATAACAATGCGCCACTGTTTGATTGATTTACTTCGCGTCGAGCAGCTTAAGCCAGCTATCTGGCTCATCTTTCGAGACATCTTCACATTTATCTGGAGTGTGGATCTGCCAGATATCAAACAATCTTCGTGATCGTCTGCTGTACGTGCGTCATAAAACATGGCTGGTGGACAAAGATATGTGGAAGTGTCTTCTCTCATATAGTGGCAGAGACCATTGTCTCTAGCAAAAGTGCCGGATATCGTTGTCAATGTGCTAGATAAAGCTGTCACTAGCCTATGTGCCAGATAACATTGTCACTAGTATACGTGTCATATATAACGGACACTAGTATGCGTGTCATTGTTACTAGCATACGTGCCAGATAACATTGTCACTAGCGTATGTGGCAGATACCATTGTCTCTCTCATATAGTGGCAGAGACCATCGTCAATAGCATACATGCCAGATAAAACGTGGTAGATATCATTGTCAATAGCATACATGCCAGATAAAACTGTCAGTAGGTAGCATACGTGTTAGATATCATTGTCACTAGCATATGTGCCACATATCATTGTCACTAGCATATGTGCCAGATAACATTGTCACTAGCATATGTGCCAGATAACATTGTCACTAGCATATGTGCCACATATCATTGTCACTAGCATATGTGCCACATATCATTGTCACTAGCATATGTGCCAGATAACATTGTCACTAGCATATGTGCCAGATATCATTGTCACTAGCATATGTGCCACATATCATTGTCACTAGCATATGTGCCACATATCATTGTCACTAGCATATGTGCCAGATAACATTGTCACTAGCATATGTGCCAGATAACATTGTCACTAGCATATGTGCCACATATCATTGTCACTAGCATATGTGCCAGATAACATTGTCACTAGCATATGTGCCAGATAACATTGTCACTAGCATATGTGCCACATATCATTGTCACTAGCATATGTGCCAGATAACATTGTCACTAGCATATGTGCCAGATATCATTGTCACTAGCATATGTGCCACATATCATTGTCACTAGCATATGTGCCAGATAACATTGTCACTAGCATATGTGCCACATATCATTGTCACTAGCATATGTGCCAGATAACATTGTCACTAGCATATGTGCCAGATAACATTGTCACTAGCATATGTGCCGGATACCACTGTCACTGTCAAACGTTCCATTGACACTGTCACTAGCATACGTGACAGATACCTAGCATACATATACCATTGTCCCTAGCATACAAGGGCAGACAACAATCTCCCAAGCATACAGAAGCAAATGGATTGTGGAAAATACCACCGGTTTCTGTTTATGCCTTGTGTACGTGTACGCTACGTGTACGTGTTGGGGTACGGGTATTGCGTACGTGTATGTATGTTTCCCTATCCTTACCTAGACTACACACACACGTTTGTATGTTTCCCACTTTGCCATCCTTCATGATTAACATATCAGATGACAGCTACTTCTATTGTTAACCCTGAACTATTGATTGAGTAGCGTGTAATTGTCTGCTCAATGCACGTGAGGTTATCTCTGACTTTAAATTAGTTGTATTAAACAGATAACAGATTACTTAACAGCACAACAATTTAAAACTAGATTTACAGTAGCGCGCATCTCTGATCAAATACGTTTCTACAAGCTTTTATTTAACTCGCTTCCTCGTCAGTCGTCAGTCTAGATCGAAACGTGGGTCAGGACATGAAGACAATACAATCTGAAATTAAATTTGACTTAATTTGGTGCGCGGACCTTTGACCACAGGTGTTTTGACCATAGGGGATTTGAGCATAGGGGGTTTGACCACAGCGGAGCTTTGACCATAGGGGGTTTGACCACAGCGGGGCTTTGACCATAGTGGGTTTGACCACAGCGGGGCTTTGACCATAACGGAGCTTTGACCATAGGGGGTTTGACCACAGCGGGGCTTTGACCATAACGGAGCTTTGACCATAGGGGGTTTGACTATAGGGGGTTTGGCCACAGGTGTTTTCGCAGCAGAGGGTCTTTGATCACAGGTGGTTTGTCAACGAATGTGTGATCACAAGCGCTGTGTTCTGCTTTAAAAACAGGTGTTTTTTCCATAAAGGGTCTTTGATCACAGGGCTTTTTTTCCATATAGGGTCTTTGATCACTGGTGGTTTTTCCAATGCTGGCGTTTGCTAATAAGCGCTTTGCCCATATATTGTAATGGTTTATTTAAAATGTTGTGTAATTATATTTTAAATTGCGGCAGGATATAATAATATGTTAATTCATCATATATAAATACAAGTAATCTAAACCATACAATTATTACTTCTTTGACCACACTGTTGGCATTTTTTTTTATCTTTTGTTATCCTTTCTATTTATGTATTTTTAAGTGCATCTACATTATTTATTTGTGAAACTTGTTATATGTCGCATTATTTATGTTCCATTTATATTTAAAATAAATTATATGAGGCGTCGCACCAGCCTTTATGTGGAGACTAAAATATCGTTCTTAACTTTTTTTTAGTTCGTTAATTTCTATTAATGGACTCCCAGGAAACTAGTATAAAATCGAATTAATTGTATCACAAATTTAAATCAAATAACAATTTATAATATCTGTTTTAAAATCTATATATTATGGTTAACCCCGCTCTGTGGCCAAAACCCCGCTGTGGTCATACCCTCTATGGTCAAACCCCCTATGGTCAAACCCCCTATGGTCAAACCTCCGCTGTGGTCAAACCTCCGCTGTGGTCAAACCCTCTATGGTCGAATCCCCTATGATCAAAGCATAATTGGATGCCTAATTAATTTTTTATGAATTAATTACAATTAGGACCGAATTAGTAGGCAGTTCGATCCAACTACTCCACACGCGTCATCACTTTCAATAGCGCATTATCACGCTCAATAGGCGCGCAAAGGTTTTTAGTCATGTAACTCTATTGTAAATAAAAACATGTAAAGTACTAAAAAATAAACCGGGAGTGATCTCCCCTAAACTTTCTCGAATATTCTTATATAAAATAACAGGGGATGGGAACTCGGGCTATAGACATGATTTTTAATCCATTTTAAATACTTAAAGTTTTAAAAATAGAATAAAATCTCGTAGACAAATTAATTGCACACCAAGTGAACGCCAAATAAAAAAGCGCATAATGGTGCGCAATATTATTATTACTTTTAAAATTTACATTAGTTTTTTGAGAAATCGGAAGTAGCGTAAAGTACTACTTCCAGTCAACGGAAATGACTCAAAATTTGATAGAAGGTAGAGAATTAGATCTTTTACTTACATATGAAATTTCATTTATCTATCTGAAATAGTACTCAAGTTATAGGCTTTTGAAAAATTCAAAGTAGGAAAAGTACCACTTCCGGTTATCGGAAATCGCTCAAAAGTTGATACGGATCTACGATTTTGATAAAATACTTATATATGAAATTTCATCAACCTGGCTGTAACGGTTCTCAAGTTATCGTGTTTACACACGGACAGACAGACACACAGACACACAGACACACAGACAGACACACAGACATACGGACAAGATTGCAAAATTATGTTTTTCCGTATCAGTGAGGTGTGAAACGTCGAGATTTGTAAAAATCTCGATTTTTTTTTTTTGCACGATTACAAGACTTTCTCTATACTTCGTATATACGAGAAAGTAAAAATTCATAAAAACGTTTTTATGCAATAATGCACTAAAAAGTAGAAAATAAATTATACACTACTATTCAAATTACTATAAAGAAAAGCGTGGGTCTCTTCCTAAATATTACTAATGGTATCCAATAGATACTAATGTGACCCACGCGTTTCTTTATAGTTATTTAAATAGTAGTGTATAATTTATTTTCTACTTTTTAGTGCATTTGTACTTAAAAGCTTGTTATTAAAACGTTTTTTATGAAAAAATTATAAAAGTACAGATCTAAATTTGAACAACGTTAGGGGGTAACTTGAAGTAATATTTCATGCTGATCTCACTTAATACAACGCACAATTCATCGTACGACACACGTCTATGTTAGACAGGATCATTAGAATTAGTCCAGAGTGAAGCTAGAATCCTCTTCTTCTGTCTAGTATTTTAGGATTACTCTGATGCCACCACTACTGTTCTTCCACCCGTCTCCGATGATTAATGTATTAAACGGGGAAACATTTTTATAAGCTTTTGTTTAGTTCATAATGTTTGTTTGTCTATTGGTTTCTCTTTTTTTTGCCTGTTTTTTTTAAATCTATTATACTATTTGTTGGTTTGTTGGTTTATTGGTATGTTTCTTTGTTTGTTTTTTACAAGATTGACCTTAAATCCACACACATTATGAACTAAATTAAAAACGCTTTTAATAAAATGATCAGAAAAATACTTTATTATAATAAGCTGTTAAATGTACCTAAAATCAAGTCTCATCTTATAATATTTTTCTCATTTCTCTGTCCAGGCCTTCTCTTTGGTAGCGGAGAAAACTGGGAGAAGAACAGGATACGCGTGAGAGAGGCCTTAGAGCACCCCAGGTTCAAATCCAAATTGGAAGAAGTCATCCATCACGAGCTGGGCATCGCGCTACAGAAGCTTGATGCCCAGCTGACCCCCGACCCCATGAGGCTAGGGGATGTGTTTCTGGAACCGTGTGTGTATGTTGTTGCTGGGGTCCTTTTAGGGGACCCAGTGCCGCTAGACTCAGAGGACAGGCGTGTTCTGTTGAGCATCGCCCAGGACATGTTTCAGTGTAACTTCCGCTCGTTCATGACACAGTTCTCATTGAAGTGTCCGATGTAAGTATACAATGTGATATGTAATCTTTTGAAGTGTTCAATATATGTACACAATGTGATATGTAATGTAAGTACACTGTGTGATATGCAATCTTTTGAAGTGTAAAATGTATGTACACAATGTGATATGAAATCTTTTGAAGTGTAAAATGTATGTACACAATGTGATATGAAATCTTTTGAAGTGTAAAATGTATGTACACAATGTGATATGAAATCTTTTGAAGTGTAAAATGTATGTACACAATGTGATATGAAATCTTTTGAAGTGTAAAATGTATGTACACAATGTGATATGAAATCTTTTGAAGTCCCAAATGTAAATACAAAATGTGATGTGCAATCGTTTTTTTTTTTGAGTCCAACATTAAGAACACAGGCTAGCAGTAAGATATTTTTCAGTTCTTAAAACAATATTTTACATTAATTTTCAAATAGGTGATTTTTAACAAACTTAATTTTGAACAAAACTAAACAGCGGAAAAAAATAATTAGTTATTGATATTATAAATTAGTAGAAAGAAAATTTCACATCAACTGATTAATCAATATTATTATATGTACGGCTTAGAAATTTAATTTTAATTTAAATTGCAATATTTGTTAAATTAACATGTCTTTAAAGTAGTCGAGTAAAATATCTTTTCGTAGTTTTATTTACTTTCAAATATTTAATGGACATTTGTCTTTGCAAATTTTTTAAACAATTTGCTTGTCGTAAAATACAGTGTGTATCTCTGTCGCTAAATTATTGACATAATGAACTGTGCTAAAATAGATCAGTATCAATCACATAACAAACATATCCTGACAGCCACTTGACTTGATAGACATTGTGTTAGTGATGCTTTGTTCCAACTTGAAATCAACACAACTCAGTTCATGATATCTACTACAGGACAGCGAAGCTAGTGTCAACGGTTCTCTTCACCGAGTTGGTCGACCTGCAGAAGACGATCAGCACACTCAGGGCGTTGATCCGGAAATGGGTCAAGGCCATCCGCCAACGGGCAACTGCTAAAGACTCACCCGCCACGAAGCTGGATGAAGCATCGGCTATTTACTCTATGCTGAAAGATGTGGGGTTTCACGAAAGCACGGAGGAGAATGGTGAGAGATGTGTGTTATAATTTCATCTACTGAAGTATAAGCACATGCTGGTAGGCTGTTGCTAGTAGAGATAGTTTAGAGATTCTGGGATATTGAGTGTATGCGTAGTGGCTATATCCGTCTTTTCTCATTATTTGCTCGAAGACAATATGTGGGTTTAAAAGTGGCGTGAACGATTTTTAAAGGTGACTTTATGAAGGTGGTTAGGAGAAAGTGGATGTATACAGGTAGAGAGGAATAAATACGAAAACATTTTGATGGCTGTTAAAGTTTGGATTGAGTAAAATCGACTTAACATGGCTTCGAGGTGGGGAAAGGTTGCCTTTACAAATTGACCTAGCTATGTCTTAGTACGTGGGTCTGGCAATGGTTGCCTAGCAACGGCTGCCCGCTAATGGCTGTCTAACAATGGTTTCTTAGCATTGAAAACATTGTAAGAGCTCACCAAATAAAACCTGTATATTTATGACATCCTAGCATTGTTCACTAAGCAATGTTCACCTCGCGACGACCATATACGAATGATCGTTGTAGAAAATTTACCTAGCCTAGATCAACTAAATTTAGCTAATGTAGCTACGACTACCCGATAATAACTTTAGAAAGATTAATCAACAAGGAGTATTATCCGCATGTAATATTTATCAAAGGAAAATCAAATCCCGATGTCCATCATACAAAGAATGCGTATCTAGAATAATCTTCCTCTACTAAACTACCCTACCCAGAGGCGAAGCGGGGGGGGGGGGGGGTCGGGCGGGGGGTGCGGACCGCACCGGGTGACACCATTCAGCGGGGTGACACCAATGCAAAAAATAGCAAAATATATAAAGGAAAATTTGAGGTGGGGTGCAAATCGAAAGTTTTAGGGGGGGGGGGGTGCAAATCTAAAATTTGAAAGTTTGTCGGGAAGGGTCGCTACGCCTCTGGGGGTGACACCATTAAGTGCCGCACCGGGCGACACCCGACCTCGATACGCCACTGACCCTACCCCCTCCCCCACCCCTCACCTTTACAGAGGCCGAGCTTGTGATGACCATGAACGACATGTTCTTTGCGGGTACGACCACTGTCCAGTCTGCCTTCGAGTTTACCCTGATGTATCTCTCCAAGTACACGCAGCACCAGCAGAGGGCGCGGGAGGAGGTGGACAGGGTGGCGGGGAGCGGCCCACTCTCCTGGGCCATGAAGGAGAGGATGCCTTTCGTCTGGGCCTGCGTGCTGGAGGGTCTACGACTGGCGACCTTGACCCCGTCGACTATACCACACGTGCTGACACAGGAGGTGAAGGTGAGTAGGTGGTTTGAACGTGTTTTGTATTTTTTTTTTACTTTCTCGTATATACAAAGTATAGAGAAAGTCTTGTAATCGTGCCAAAAAAACAATCTAAATTTTTCCAAATATCGACGTTTTACAGCTCCCTGAGTCGGAAAAATATAGTTTTGCAATCTTGTCCGTACGTCTGTGTGTGTGTATGTGTGTGTGTCTGTCTGTAAACAGGATAACTTGAGCACCGTTACAGCTAGATTGATGAAATTTCATATATAAGTATTTTATCAAAATCGTAGATCCGTATCAACTTTTGAGCGATTTCTGATAACCGGAAGTGGAACTTTTTCTACCTTGAATTTTTCTAAAGTCTATAACTTGAGTACTATTTCAGACAGATAAATGAAGTTTCACATATAAATAAAATTGCAAATTCTCTGCTTTCTTTAAAATTTTGAGTAATTTCTGTTGACCGAAAGTAGTAATTTCTGATTTCTCAAAAAACGCTTGAGAATTTATAAAGTACTAATAATATTCCGCACTATCATGCACATTTTGTGTGGTGTTCACTTGGCTATCTATTTTGGCAAAAGTCAGATCGCTATCCTAGCTAAAAAAACAACAGATGTGTATCCTGGTAGAAGACTAACAATTCTACATCCTTCATCAAGAAGAGATGCATCTATATCCGGAAGAAAAATATTAGATGTTTATCCCGACTGAGAATAGATAAATCTATATCCTAGCTGAGAAAAAAAAACTAGACTCGAACAAGATACACGTAAAAACATCGACCACGACTTCCCTCACTAGATATCTTCAATGTTTTATTAAAATGTTTAATTTTAATTAAATCTAATTAATCTCAGGTTAATGAGTACACCTTACGGAAAGGCACCTATGGCATAGGAAGTATGTGCAGCCTACACAGAGACGAAAGATTTTTCCCCTCGCCCGAAGTTTTTTATCCCGAGCGTCATTTGGATGGCCAAAATATTCGGGATGTTCCCAGTTATAGGCCATACGGGATAGGTAATATTTTTTGGGGAATTTTCTGTCATTCGGGGGAATTTTCTGTCATTCAGGAGAATTTTCCGTCATTCTGGGAATTTCCCGTCGTTTGGTAGCAAGAAAAGAATTTTAATTATACCTTTTTTTTGGGGGTTTTTTTTTGCAGTAAAAACGATCAAAACCCTAGTCCTAAAATACAAAGCTTTGATAATTGTGTTTTACCATGTAAAGTATTTTCGAAAATGTATTTCTGTTCAGGGTTTCCTTCAGAAATTTTGCTGTTGTGGAGTTGAGGGGGGGGGGGGTAGGAGTTTCTGAAAGTGGGTGCACTTGATACTTTCAGTAGGGGGATGACGACGATAATTGAAGTATTTAATTTTCTATTTAAACTTCTAAATTATAAGTTTGAATAGAAAAAAACATATACTTCAATTATAATTATTTCTAATATTTTTATTTTTGTTTTAAAGGGGGTGGGGGATGTGTAATGCTAGGGGAGTGCTCCGGGTGGGGGAGAGAGGGTCACTACTCCCACGAAGAGAGGCTTGAGTGAAATACTGTTTCCGATCGTTTTAGATTTGAGTACTTTAAATGTTAAATATCACTGTCTGATATTAAATATTTTTATAAGCCACTTAGCGGGTTAGTAGTCATAGTCATCTTTAATCAGAAATATTAACTTCCTGCTTATTTGGGAATGGCAGCTTAAGGGATGTAACCATAATATACTTTTTTTCTTTATTTCAAACTAACTAAACTCGAACCACTCTAACCCATACTAACCCAAAACGTGTGATGTTTCGAACCCAGGTCGTCGCAAATGTATCGGGTGGGACATGGCCGATGTGGAACTGTTTCTCTACACGGCCTCAGTTCTGCGGAGGTACGTCATCACGTCAGCAGACGACACGCCGCCCCAGGACATGGAGGTCAAGTCTCTCATCTGCTGCCATCTCAAGGACTTCCGGTGTTTTGTCGAGAAGAGATGAGGGGCTCTTGTGATTTGGTGATGGTGTGGTGTGGTGTGGTGCTGATATGTCTCGTTTTAATGCCCTTTCAGGAATTTAATGCCCAGCATGGCGTTTGATGCCCCCGCATGACATGTAATGCCCAGGATTTAGTGCCAAACCCGGCATTTGACATACAGCAAGTTATTTAATACTCAGCCTAACTTTGATGCCCAGGGCGAGATTTAATGCCCAGGTTGACATTTAATGCCCGGCCCGACATTCTATGCCCAGTTTAGCCTTCGGTACCCAACCCGGTATACATAACCCATTATGATGCCATGTTTTATGCCTAGCCTTTGATGCCCTGTATTGTAATGCCTTGGATTCAATACCTTGTAATTTAATGTCATATTTTCTTTTTTTTTGTTTTATCCTCCATATTTTAATTCAAATTTCGGTGAAATAAAAAAGTAGCCTTAACTCTGTTTGATTGGAGTGCTTCATGTTGCTGTCAGATAATAAATATTGTTTGATCCATGGAACAGACTAGTTCTCATATTAAAAACTTTTTTTATTAAATAAAGGTGTGTATGAGGGCTGATTGTACTCTGGTAGTTGTCTTTTTATTTCTCTCTGAACTTGATGTGTCTTTATATTTCTCTCTGAACTTGATGTGTCTTTATATTTCTCTCTGAACTTGATATGTCTTTCTCTTTGAGCTTGATGTGTCTTTATATTTCTCTCTGAACTTGATATGTCTTTCTCTTTGAGCTTGATGTGTCTTTATATTTCTCTCTGAACTTGATATGTCTTTCTCTTTGAGCTTGATGTGTCTTTATATTTCTCTCTGAACTTGATATGTCTTTCTCTTTGAGCTTGATGTGTCTTTATATTTCTCTCTAAGCTTTAATACAATTTAATACTATGACGAAAAGCACGTTCACATACAATGATTGTATCGTGACAGTCACATTAAATTTAATACTCTGTCAAACGGGATTCACATAAAATTTTGTATGGCGATTAACAACATGGAGACATACAATTCGATATTGTGAAAAACAACGCAGTCACATGAATTTAATACTTTGATAAACCGCATCAAATAAAATTTTATATTTTGACAAACAGAACCATCACGTAACCTAAAACGGCAACTTCAATCAAATGAAACGGAATATATTTTTTTTTCCGGCTTTGTTTTTAAAGTCAAAACACAAGTTTGATTTTGTCGTTTTTTGTAGCTCCGTTTTGTCATTAGTTCCAACCCATTTTAATTAATTTTAATTAATTTTAATTAATTGAGCGCTTGCTTTCAACCATCGCAGACAACTGCAACTACTGTGATATGCAATAGGGCTGGTAAGTAGGTCAATAAAGAGTTCTATGGCTCATGCAGGTTTTATTGAGCCGTAGAACTGGTTGGTGACCTACTTACCAGCCCTATAGAATCTAGTACTTAATTAATTAGACAAATAATATTGTAATTTAATTATTAAAATGAATGTTCACATTAATTTGGACTTCAAATATTACAGAGTTAACGAGCCGGTAGCCACGTTAATGGTGTTTTAAAAAGTCTGATGACAAATTTAAAAATTGACGTTCACAGATGACTACTGCGTTACTTTATTTTAGACGTTTTGAAGACGCGTTTAATAAGAACTGTCGAATGAAAAGAAAACAAGTAATTAAAAAAAGTCTAGTGACAATTTTAGCGCAATTTCCTTACGTTATCTAAAAATAGCTCTGTCGTAGCGTAAATCAACAGCAGGGTTAGTAAAACCATTGGTTAGTTATTAAAACGTTTTTTATTAAATTTTTTTTCAGTATTTTACATGTTTTATTTACAATAGAGTAACATGACTAAAAACCATTGCGCGCCTAGCTACCGAGCGTGATGTCGCAGATATTGAACGTGATGGCGCAGCTATAAAACGTGATGACGCGTGTGGTGTGGTTGCATAAAATGCCTACTAATTCGGTCCAAATTTTAATTAATTCAAAAAATTTTTTGTGACCAAACGAAAGGATATTTTTGAAAACTTTCTTCGGCAATATTGTTCTTAATTATAGCAGAAATCGATTGGTGCATGTTTCAAGTCGCTAAGTGGTCTGGTTGCCGAGATATGGGCCAAAAACTGCATTTTTCCGAGGTTTTTTTTGGCTTTTCCTGGAAATCCATGACAGAAACCCGGAATTTTTATGGCCTATGTTCATCCTCGTAACTTGCTTAACATTATTGTTTTTGTAACTAGTCATCGATATTGCTTCGTTGAGGAGGAGATACGACTTAAAGCTGCGGACACACATCCATACATTCATCCATCCATTCCCAGAAATGACGAGTTAATAAACGCAATTCTCCAGAATGGAAATTGCGCTAAAAATATGCTCTAGTTGGTTTTAATTCTTAACTATTGGCTTTAATTTAAATTTGTTTAGGTCCTAGATAACAAATGTATGAATGAAAAAATATTTTAAAATAACTAGAAAAATAGTATACTTACGTTCATTTTGTTGAAATAATGGTACTAGTGTTTGTCGCTAAAGTGATTACATGATAAAATTGTATCAATTCACCCCCGAACGAAATGGAATTCTATAGAAAATATATACATTTAACAGTGCCCGCCCCAACAAAGAAAGTCTACTGCCCCCACAGAAAATTTTCAGTCAAACAACGTATAGTGGCAATATACATTGTTTTAACAAATATTATACGTAAGAAATAGGATACATTAATGCAGCATGTTTTTAATCACAGTACACCGTACGACAATGGCAAAAGCCGGAAATACGTCACAACATGTAATTTTAAAGTCTGTATTGATGTTTCGTTTTGTTTTAGCCATTCTTCTACTACAAAAATACACGAACTCGCATTTTATAGGCTTGGGTCTTGTAACTGTTATTCTTGATGGTATGAAAGTAAGTGTTAACATTCGTTTTTAAACTTTTGGTATTAGCTCTCATTAATAAATTTATAGGTAATCTCACGATATACGATATAGCGTCGGTTATTATTCCGGAATGGAACAGCAATAAAAAATAATAAAACTATGGCGTAGTCTGTCACGCCGTTCCGGAAACAACCGGAAGTACTGTAAACCATATTTTATTTGGCGTCATGTTATTTTTAATACATAATATTTAAAAATGTGCTTAGATTGATTTTAGTTGCATGTTAAATACTGTTTTTGTAACTATTTTTTCTAATTATTTGAAGTATATGTGCTGATTATTGTTGCTACTAAACATTTGTTCTAGTACTTCTTACTACTTTAGAAGTTTTAGTACTTAGTAGATCTAATCGCCTTATTTTACTAGATCTAGATCTACAATGTAGTGGTCGCAAATCTTTTTTTTTTTTTGTTTCTTAAAAAAACATTAATTTTTACACTCGACTTTGTTATTAATTATTAATATTTAGATCCAGATCTACTGATTGTTGCTAATTTTCTGTGAATTAAAATTTAGTTAAAACATTAATTCAATGCACTTGACTTGACTTGACTATATGTATATTTCAACAGTCAAATAAACTATGGTTTACAGTTACGAACGTTTAAGAAATTCATCAAATAATACCGGATAATTTCCGACGCTATATCGTGAGATTACCACCTTAATTACCACGTCACTACTCCCTTTACCAGATAACGTTTCATAGATTAATCTTAACAAAACATGTCCATATATGCGGCACTAAATTCCACATCCCGTCATACAAAACAGAATATCGAACTACAAACCAGCCATGAGAATCAGGTCGACCTGTCAAGAGTACCATCTCCTTATGCTCGTGCTATGCCAGATCTCGCTCGACTTTACCGCCAGTGACAATATATTTGTAGGTCTCAATACTGAGGTGTATAAGCTGGAGGGCGACATCAATCTGGGAGCGCTGTACAGCATCACCGAATACTCTACGGACCCCGACAGACCAGGATGTTCTAAAACGCCGCGAGCGCATACTCAGGTCCTGGAGAGAATTGAAGCGACGATGTTCGCGGTGCGGAAGATCAACAACGACAAGACCATACTACCGAACGTCACTCTGGGGATGTACATTGTGGATTATTGTATCCTATCCAACATGGCGTTGGCCAGGGCGCTGTCGTTTCTTCCGGGGCGTGGGGCCGAGAGTATTATAAACACGGCGAGTACGAACCACTACGATGTTGTGGGGGTGGTTGGGTTATCCTCCAGCGAAGACGCCATCCCCGTGTCGAGTCTCTACTCCTCCGCCCAGCTTCCTCTTATCAGCTTCTTGGCCACATCTGACTACCTCAGCAACAAAGACTTCCATTCGTATTTCTTAAGGGTGGTTCCCTCCGACGCTCAGCGGGTCAATGCTATGATGCAGTTTATTACCGACAACGGCTGGTCTTTCATCTCTGTAGTCTATGATGAAGGTGAGTACGGGGAGGCCGCGTTTTACACGATCAAAAAGACGTCTGACAAGTTTGGTGTTTGTGTGGCTGCGTCGCTGAAAATAAACTCCGAAACTAACTTCGCTCACGTGATAGAGAAGCTTTTAATGTACAGGAAAGCGAGAATAGTTATTATGTTCACAAGTCAGGTGCACACGAATAAAATACTAGAGACAGCCAACCTGAGAACTACCGCTGGCCATTTTATCTGGATTGGTAGCGACGGTCTCGAGGAGAGTTTGAACACACAAAAAGAAACAGCATCTCACGTTCGGGGGTCTTTTAATTTTAAGCCCCAATCGTCCAAGTGTCCTGAATTTACTGAATATTTTAACAAATTACTTCCCGGCTCAACGAGTAATCCTTGGTTACCTAAATTTTTTGAAATATTCGGGAAATGCTCGTTAGAGGACAGGAGTTGCAATTTGTCTAAGTCGGCAGGAGAGTTTTCAAGTTTGTATCCGTCGTTCACTACATCTCTAGTCATGGACAGTGTCGCAACGTACGCAGACGCCATTCACCGCTTGTTGAAAAACCTGTGTCCTAACGCTTTGGGAAAAGCGGCTCGAAACTGTATTAAACGTGACGTTCTCCGTCAATATTTACTGAACGCATCTTTTGACGGAATTACCGGACGTATTGAATTCGATGAGGATGGAAACTTGAACGGGAGATATGAAATTGAACAGTTTGTGGATCGGAAAACGGATGCAGAATTTATCTCCGATGAGCACTTGGTGGGCAAAACAATCGGGTTCTATAACATCATTTCCGGTTCTATTGAATACATAGGTAATAACATCTCGTGGGAATATTTCAGGGGCAGCGCAGACGACGCGGCACCAGCGGCGGATACCACGAACCTACCACCAGACTCCGCCTGTAGCCGACCCTGTACCGCTGGAGAATACCCGGTGCCAAAAGAGATCATCTGTTGCTGGGATTGCCGCAAATGTCGCCAGAATGAAATCGTCGTCAACAACGGAACCCACTGCGAACCGTGCGCGACATTGTTCTGGCCTGACGAGGATTCGAACTTCACATCCTGCTCCCCCATCACTGCAACGTTCACTAACTTCTCCAACTACATCGCTCAGATCGAGATATGCGTGGCTGTCTTGGCCATTATGTTCCAAGTTTATATCTCTATCATGTACGTCAACCTCCGCGAGAGCAGTATCATCAAAACATGCGACAGAGAACTGAGTGCTATTCAAATGATGGGGATCTTCCTGGGGTATGTGACTGTGATACTGTTTCAAGCTAAACCCACGGTGACGACGTGTACCACCATCTACGTGATGTTCAGCTTCAGCTTCTCTTTAATCTACGACCCACTTCTGGTGAAAACTGTCAAGCTGTATCGGATCTTCCAATCCCAAGAAATATCCTTAAGTACACCGCTTGTCATCAGCACGAAGTCGCAGCTTCTGTTCGCGTCCACGTTAATATCTCTACAGGTAAGTGTGGGATGTCATTGTTGGGGGTGTGTGGCTTAGCAGCATAAGGTGAGAAGCTGGTGTTTTATTAGAGGTGTATGTGGTTATCTTAATTTAGGTACGGTGAAGCTGTTTTGTCGTGGTAATGTCTGGTAGTGGTCATGTGATGTGGAGGTTATGGGTGGTCGCTCTAATGTGATGTGGAGGTTATGGGTGGTCGCTCTAATGTGATGTGGAGGTTATGGGTGGTCGCTCTAATGTGATGTGGAGGTTATGGGTGGTCGCTCTAATGTGATGTAGAGGTTATGGGTGGTCGCTCTAATGTGATGTGGAGGTTATGGGTGGTCGCTCTAATGTGATGTGGAGGTTATGGGTGGTCGCTCTAATGTGATGTGGAGGTTATGGGTGGTCGCTCTAATGTGATGTAGAGGTTATGGGTGGTCGCTCTAATGTGATGTGGAGGTTATGGGTGTTCGCTCTAATGTGATGTGGAGGTTATGGGTGGTCGCTCTAATGTGATATAGAGGTTATGGGTGGTCGCTCTAATGTGATATAGAGGTTATGGGTGGTCGCTCTAATGTGATATAGAGGTTATGAGTGGTCGCTTTAAAAAAAAAACAGTATCACAATAAAATAATAAAACTGTTTTGTATAATAGTTGGATTTCTTTAAATTGGCCGTTAGTAACAAATGTATTAACGACATTAATAAAAATGGATTTAAATAATAAATACACACTCGTAAAATAGCATTCATTTTAATTTGGAGTAAATAAATAATATGTACATGGTATATATAGTGGAATAGTATAATAAAACAATAAAAATAGCATGCTGTTTTTGTTTCAAGCACCATTATTTATTTAACTATACTCTAACCCTAACCCAAAACCAAACTCTATCCCTAACCTTAACCCTAACTGTACCTTCTGGGGGGGGGGGATAATTGCGGGGGGTTGGGGGGGGATGTCCGGGAGGGGGTGTTGTTCGGGGTTAATGAGGGGGGGGGGGGGGGTAATGTCCTACATCTGTCTCAACTATAAATGAAAGTTACTCAAGACAGATTATTTTTGTTTTTATAACAATCCGATGTTTGTTTTGTTTTTTCGTTTTACGCTTTTTAAAATATTGTAAACATCTCATTAAGACCGAAGTTAAAATGTATAGAATAAGATAGTTATTTCGTTATAATATTATTTACAATATTATTTGATTTCATTAGTTAAAAATAAATGGGGATGTTGTGATTGGATAGCACAAGACTACTAAAGCGGCTGGTCAAAATGCTGAGTACACTATCTTTTCACTTACTGAGGTCACACATATAAGTATACTCTTAAATTATGAATCTGCAGGCTTGAAAGGATAATTAATTTCATAAGTAAATCAAAATACTTTTGTAATCCCAATGCCGTTTCAATGTTTATAATTGTATATAATTTAAATACTTTTATCTTTTAGTATATTTTAAAGTGAGATAGGATTAATTTTTATAGTATCGTTTTAAGCTCACTACACCGTCTAAACATGGCTTCTATCGGAAGTGCGTCATAATATTGGAATTAATGGTTCTTGTTGATGTTTTGGCGTTCACAACAAAAGAAAAATAAAGTGATAAATCTAGCAGTTCAGATAACACGGCGTTGTTGAAAACTGTACTGAATGTGACGCTAGGATTATTTATTTTAAAAACATGAAAAATGTTGTTCTCAAAAATGGACCTTATTTTATACTTAATTTTAAGCTATAGAGTCTATATTTAGATCTAGATCTAGATCTATGTGTTGATGTAAATTTACTGAGATAAAAATATCGGCAAGTATTAGAATTTAATTAATTGACAAAAGTCGTGATCTCTTAAGAAACATACTCCTGTGGTGAATTTAGCACGGACCATGCGTAAACTTCTGTTGTTTATTCTCACTGCATCACAATTCTCATTCGAGTTGACTGCTAGTGACGGAACATTCCCAGGTCTCAATTCAGAATACATTGCCGTAGAGGGTGACATCAACATAGGGGCCCTGTACAGCGTCACCGACTATTCTATTGAAGACGGTATCGTGAGGTGCTCCAAAAACCTCAGGCCGGAGGTGTGGATCATGGAGAACGTAGAGGCCACAGTGTTCGCGGTCAATCAAATCAACAGCGACCCGGCACTGCTCCCCAACGTGTCTTTAGGCGTTTACATCGTCGATTACTGCGCCACCGCTAACACTGCCTTGGCCAAATCGTTATCGTTTCTACCCGTGGGGGAAAACCCGAGAGACGCAGTCATAAACACGGAGAGTACGAACCACTTTGATGTCGTAGGGGTGGTCGGTCTTTACAGCAGCGACGCGGCAAAGTTAGTCTCGTATCTCTACTCGGCCGCACAACTTCCTATCATCAGCTTCATGGCAACATCCGACTACCTCAGCACTAAAGACTTCCATTCGTATTTCTTAAGGGTGGTTCCGTCCGATATACACAGGGTCAATGCTATGCTGCAGTTTATTTCCAACAAGGGGTGGTCTTTCATCTCTGTAGTCTACAATGAAGGCGCGTATGGGGAAGGAGCGTTTTACGCGATCAGACAGAACGCGGAAAAGTTTGGAATTTGTTTGGCCGCGACACCGAAAATCGGCTCGAAAACTAACTTCGAGCGAGCGATAGAGGAACTGTTGCGGTATCGTAAAGCTAGGGTCGTTGTAAGCTTTTTGAGCGTTGACTTTGCTGTGAAACTACTGACCGCAGCTAAGAAGCTCTCCACGGCAGGGCACTTTATCTGGATAGGCAGCGAGGGTTTTGATGATGTGATCAGGGACAATGACCATCTGGTTGATCAGTGTCTTGGCTCGTTCTTATTTGTGTACGAATCCTTTGCTATTGAAGAATTTACGGAATATTTTGATCAGTTGTTGGTAAATTCAAGTACCAATCCCTGGCTGACTCAGTATTTTGAGCTACTCGGGGAATGTTCGTTTAAGAGTGGAACTTGTGATGCATCGAAACAAGCTAAAGAATTCCCAACACATAATCCCTCATACAGGATTTCTTTAGTCTTGGACAGTATTCTGACCTACGCAGACGCCATTCACCGCCTGTTAAAAAATCTGTGTCCTAACGCTTTGGGAAAAGCGGCTCGAAACTGTATTAAACGTGACGTTCTCCGTCAATATTTACTGAACGCATCTTTTGAAGGTCCTACTGGGCATATTCAATTCGATGAAGACGGAAATTTAAATGGCAAAATTGAAATTGTACAATTCGTTTCTCCAACAGAAGAAGATGGTGATAGTGCTATGGAAACTTTTAAAGGAGTAGTGGTCGCTATTTATGACATACTTTATAGTCAAGTCGATTACAGAGAAAATATCACATGGCAATATTTCAGCGGCAGCGCAGACGACACGGCATTAGCGGCGGATACCACGAACCCACCACCAAACTCCGCCTGTAGCCGACCCTGTACCGCTGGAGAATACCCGGTGCCAAAAGAGATCATCTGTTGCTGGGATTGCCGCAAATGTCGCCAGAATGAAATCGTCGTCAACAACGGAACCCACTGCGAACCGTGCGCGACATTGTTCTGGCCTGACGAGGAATCGAACTTCACATCCTGCTCCCCCATCACTGCAACGTTCACGTCCTTCACGGACTTCAGCTCCCAAGTGCAGATATGTCTTGCTTGCTGTGGTCTAGTACTCCACGCTTTTATTGCCGTGTTCTTCGTTGTACACCACAAAGCCCGTATTATAAAAGCAAGCGGCAGGGAATTAATTGCCCTGCAATTGTTCGGAATTTTTATGGGATATGTGACTGTAATACTGTTCCATGCTGAACCCACCATCCGCATTTGTCACGCTATTTATCTTATGTTCTGCCTTAGTTTCGCTTGGTTGTACGCCCCCCTCCTGGTAAAAACGATCAGGATCTATCGAATTTTTAAAATAAAATCCAAGGTGAAGAGAAGAATGTCATATGTCAGTCCAAAGTCACAGGTCCTACTGGCTATTACATTAGTTCTTTTGCAGGTGAGAATTGTGGATGTTTGATGAAGGATGTTGTATCACACTGTACTGTACAGTGTTGTGGTGGTTACATTGGTCCCCTAAGCTTAGTGTTTTCGTGGATTTGAGACTGTAATAGAATGTTGTTGTTCGGGGTGGCTGCCTATCGATGTTGTCGGTGTAAGTTGATGTAGGTTGATGATTAAAGTATGCCTCGTTCTCTTGTAGTGGTTATCCGTTGTAGGTGGTAAATGTCTGTCAATGGAGATAGTTTATTTGTAGACTTTGTAAGTAGTAAATGTCATTCTTGTAAATGGTAAATGTCTGACTTTGTAAGTAGTAAATGCCATTCTTGTAAATGATAAATGTCTGACTTTGTAAGTAGTAAATGCCATTCTTGTAAATGATAAATGTCTGACTTTGTAAGTAGTAAATGCCATTCTTGTAAATGATAAATGTCTGACTTTGTAAGTAGTAAATGGCATTCGTTGTAAATGGTAAATGTCTTAAACCGTATGTGGTAAATGTGCTCTTGAATGTGGGAAAAGCCTGTCACATAAGGTGGTAAATATCTTTCACTGTGATACATGTTTAATATTGTAAGTTATAATTTAAATTTAAATGTGTAGAACAAATTGTTACAATTAAAGTAATTGAAATTATTTTTAATATTTGTATACACGGGTTGTTTGAGTAGTAGTTGTACTCATTCAAACCGAGAAAACATTTTACCTCTCGCTATGATGTGTAAAGCCACTATTTCGATCAAGGAGGTCCACGGATCAAATGAAGTAGAGTTTGTCTGTTTCTGTGACCGCGGCATATGAAGTGATAGTGTGGTTCGCACTATACCCAGCTGCTTTTACTTTCTCTATGGTCTTGTACCCATCAGAGTTAAGTGGGCACAAGGACTACCTATAACGTGATTTTTACTTTATGTGCACGATTTTTTAAAATTAATTTAACAACGTGAGTTTTGGGTTAAGCTATGTTAAGTTAAAACTGAGAAAAATAAGTATTACGGATTATATATAAATTAGTTTGGCTATAGCTTTTAATTGTGCTTAATATAAAAAACCAAGAAACTTGCGCAATTTTGTGGCGATAAAAGTGCTTCTTAAATTATAGAAAAGGTATGCAATATTTAATCTAGCGATCCACGCCTTTCTTTCTAGTTATTTAAATTACTCTTCGTTACTATTTACTATAAGAAAATAATTTATTCTCTACTTATTAGCACAAAATTTATTTATTATATCAAGCTTATTGTTAAAATGTTTTTATGCATTTTTTTTCAGTCTTTTAAATTACATTTTAATACAATAGAGTTGCATGACAAAAACAATTGCGCACCAAAAGAACACAAAGAATGTGCATAGAATAACATAGTAAATAGTACTTCATATAGAAAATTTTAATTCACTTTGTCGGTTAGAAGCGGTCGAAATTTCGCTCGCCAGTTCCATCCATGAAGACAAAAGTCGAAAGATAGAAGAAGCAAGCTAAATAATACCTTGTAAAAAATCATGCAATTTTGTACATATATTTTTTAATTGTCCTTACACTGCTGCTAAGTAGGTCAGCAACCAGTTCTTCGGCTCAATAATACCTGCATGAGCCATATAACTGGTTGGTGACCTACTTACCAGCCCTATACGAAAGCCAATTTTTTAAAAATGTCTACATTTTCCCCAGACTTTTATTTGTCTATGCGTCAACTTCTTGCAAAGTCCGACGCCAACTCTGAAACAGCCCGTGGCAACTGTAAAATTTGTGGAACTCTACTGCCACGTCCACATCGCTGGCATCGTCTCATTCCTGTCTTACAACGTCATTCTCGTCTTCCTCTGCTCCATCTTCGCCTTCAAGACCCGATCGCTGCCGGAGAACTTCAGCGAGTCCAAGTTCATCTCCATGTGCGTCTTTACCACGCTGGTCATCTGGTTGTCGTTCATCTGCGCTTACGTCTCAATCAGCCAGGAACAGATGAAGGTCGTCCTGCTGTGTGTGGCGCTACTCCTCAACCACACGGTGGCGCTGCTGTTTCTCTTCCTGCCCAAGATCTACGCCGCGGTGTACATTGAGCCTACAGCGTTACATAGACCGTCCATGTTTTTGCAGCACTGAACCCATTTCAGATCCTGATCAAAAAGGGGCCAAGACTACCAACGGCTTTTGCAACCCATTCAATACAGGCATGAAAAAATGTGACGAAGTGCTGCTGTTTGTGTACACGTATGTGCTTGTATATGTGTGCAGGTGTACGTGTGTCAGCGCGTGTTTGTGTGTGTGAATGTAACAGTATAAATATGTATGTGTGTATTGGAATGCATAAAGAGTCACCGGCGTCATATCGCTACCGTGAGTTAAGCTAAATAAAGTCTTCACTTGTCCACTTAACTTCCCACGTAATTCAACTATTACGTCGTGTAAAAGGTAATAACGAAACCTACAAGTATTTATATTAGCGAACTGTATTTCAGAACAATTTCCGGACTGAATCTAAAATATGTGGTGCCAAATACGTTCATGGCAAACATTGTCTGAGGATTTTTCGGTTTGTTTGCTTGTTGATTAAATTTTGTGTGAAAATAAAATTGATATTTTTTATAAATAAATTTGAAGTGTCTTTTATCGGTAATTAATTTTTGAGTTAATAAAACTTAGCTTTTATTTCAATTGTTCGTCTAACGAACTGTTTTGTTAGAATTATTTGAGACGTTATTTCTCGTTTTTTGTTTTATTTATTTTGTTGTTTCTAAATACTTGATATTCTATCGGGGTCGAAGTATATTTGCACACACTTTTACCTGGGTCGATATTTCTGTCACTGTGTGTAGATATGTTTCTGGACAAACCTTTGTAAATTTGTTTAATTTTTGGTTGAATTTTACACCGTGTTATTTACACGCTGTGTCTGTTAACATGAGTATAAATTTTGAATACTAGAACAAACAAAAAACACACCCAAGTGTTGTCTATAAATTACGTCATATATTTTACCCCCAATCAACACCCTTCTCGTCTTCAGACTTTCTTATTCCTTTTAAGAAAACGTCAAGTACCGAACACGACGACGTTATCTCCTACCCCCCCCCCCCTACCCCCCCCCCACCCCTACCCTTTTCTATTAAAAATTGTAAGATGTAGATTCATTCATACAAAGCTAGAAAATAATTCTTTAGATAGGAAAACATTTTATTCACTGAATCTCTAACAAACTTCAAATTAACAAGGGGAGCAACATAAGAAACATATATTAAATTAAATTTAGAATTTGTTACCTCCCTTAATTTGATAAACCAAATTAGTAGTGTGTACTAAGAGTGAGAAATGTGTACACTAGAGTATGTGTATACACAATGTGTGTGAAACGCGTGTGTACTAGGAGTGAGTATCTATAGTATGTCAGAACTTTGAGTGTGTGTGTGCGTGCGTGCGTGCGTTGGCGTGTGTTTGTGTGTGTGTGTGTAGACAATGTGTGCCAAACGCATGTGTACTAGGAGTGAGTATTTAGAGAATGACAGAACTTTGAGTATGAATGTATGTGTGTAGACACTGTTTGCACATGCGTGGGACAATGTGTGTACTAGTAGTGCGTATGTAGATAATGTGTGTGTAGACGATGTGTTACACAGAGACTTACTCGTATTAGCTTTCTTTAACTACAGTTAAACATATGTTTGTTTTAGCAGTTTACAATACGTTTTAGCGACAAAGCTATATCCTTTATAGATTAAGAAAGCATTTATTTCTTCTCATTTTGAGAGCATTTAAAAACTGGTTAATACACATGTGTGTCACGCACATTGTCTACACACTCTGCAAGTATACACACTGTGTAATTGTGTATACACACACACCACCCAGTACACACATTGCTCCATTCCTAATAAACGCATTGTGTACACACCTAGTACACACATACACACTCCAGCACACACGTGTGTCACATATATTGTCTACATAACCAACGTTTACAATTGTAAACAAGAACAATTTCAATAACCGCTACTATAACAAATAATGACCTAGAATTAAAAATTAATTACCTTTATTAATGAAAACATTATAGGGTGTATCCTACTGAATTTCTCAAAACTATCGTAAATCTCATTCCTACACAACTTTATTACGAAAGTCTATATGGGTAATTGAACTTTATTACGAAAGTTTATATGGGTAATTGAACTTTATTACGAAAGTTTATATGGCTAATTGAACTTTATTACGAAAGTTTATATGGGTAATTGAACTTTATTACGAAAGTTTATATGGGTAATTGAACTTTATTACGAAAGTTTATATGGGTAATTGAACTTTATTACGAAAGTTTATATGGGTAATTGAACTTTATTACGAAAGTTTATATGGGTAATTGAAGTTTATTACGAAAGTTTATATGGCTAATTGAACTTTATTACGAAAGTTTATATGGCTAATTGAACTTTATTACGAAAGTTTATATGGGTAATTGAACTTTATTACGAAAGTTTATATGGGTAATTGAACTTTATTACGAAAGTTTATATGGGTAATTGAATTTTATTACGAAAGTTTATATGGGTAATTGAACTTTATTACGAAAGTTTATATGGGTAATTGAACTTTATTACGAAAGTTTATATGGGTAATTGAACTTTATTACGAAAGTTCATATGGGTAATTGAACTTTATTACGAAAGTTTATATGGGTAATTGAACTTTATTACGAAAGTTTATTCGGGTAATTGAACTTTATTACGAAAGTTTATATGGGTAATTGAACTTTATTACGAAAGTTTATATGGGTAATTGAACTTTATTACGAAAGTTTATATGGGTAATTGAACTTTATTACGAAAGTTTATATGGGTAATTGAACTTTATTACGGTAGTTTATATGGGTAATTGAACTTTATTACGAAAGTTTATATGGGTAATTGAACTTTATTACGAAAGTTTATATGGGTAATTGAACTTTATTACGAAAGTTTATATGGGTAATTGAACTCGTGTTTAGACAACCGCCCACATAGGAGAGATAACTCCAAACTCCGACAGGAATTGTGCCACTCATGATTATCGACTTCCTTTTCCTTTCGGTAGCTTCTGCACCGGATAATGGTACCAACGGAAAAGCTAAGCACTTCTCCCGACTATACGGGCAAAGGTCAAGAGTGGGGTCATGGCACTTGGGCAATCCACGATCTCTTCATGTGATATTCTGATACCCTATAAAAGATTTTATTTTTCTGAGTACATACATTGTGTCCCAAGGCAAAAAGTAACCATTTTTATGGTTCTATACAAATGACATGATCTAAGACAAAATATCTCAGAAATAATTATCTCATCAATAACCTCAGTAAATTTTTATGCCAGTAATGAATGAAACGTCGTATCCTGTCCCCCCCCCCCCCCAAGAAAGTCTACCGCCCCCCTCCCCCCCCTCCCCCGAACGACATGGAATTTATATAGTAAACATATACTTTACTTGTGTCGCCCCTCCACCCGGAGAATGTTGACCGCCTCCCCCAGAAAATATTAAGTGCCCCCCCCCCCTGTAAGAAACACTGTTCTAGACCAGGGGTCTCCAAACTACGGTCCGCGGGCCGCATGCGGCCCGCGAGGTCATTTTATCCGGCCCGCGACAATCTTTTTGTCCACTGAATAAATGTTTGTTGGAGGTGGCTGAGGAATTTTACACAGAAAATTCAAAACAATTTGAAATGTAGCTTTGTGTGCAAATACAATTACTCGCCGTGTTGCAGACATTGATGAAAACATTGCGACTCAAATAGCGAAAAATTCAAGCAAGTTTCGCCATTTTTCAATTGCATGGATGAGTCAACTTCTTGTGTTCATTAGGGGTGGGGATGAAGACATGAACATAACACAAGAGCTGGCTTCCCTACATAGAATGTATGTCACTGTTATCGAAGAGGATATCTAACCATAGATAGTTCAGAGACAATGACAAAATCGCAAGATTTACCATATTTCACATCAGTAAGATTGCTAATTTTGCGAGAAAATTCTGAGCGGAGTATCCAAGAAAAGAAATAGGTGACTTCCTGATAGTAAAGGCAAGTCACAGCCATTATTGTCTGATGAAGAGTGCGTATAGAAATTGGCCTCTGCTGCAGACATAACTAGCAATTAAAATTTTCTGAAACTAAAACGGCAAGAAAGTGAAATCTAGTTTCTGATCTATACACCCACCTAAAGGCCTTTAGATACAAACTTGTCATGTTTTTGGAACAAGTACAGGCCAACAACTTGACTCACTCTCAGTAGTGCAAGGTCTTTAGGCTGAAGCGACCACTGAGTTCCCCACGTCATTTACATACGAGATAGATAAAGACCTCCAGCTGCAGTTTCAGTAGCGGTTTTCTGACTTGGATTCAAAGGCAGAAGAAGTGAGAATGTTTCAAAGCCAATTTGAAGCAAATGTGGCCAGTTGCAAAGATGAACTGCAGCTGGAGGTCATTGAATTGCAAGAAAATGACTTCCTTAGAGACACGTTCAAAGAAGGGCGGATGGGTTTTCATACGTTTTTGCACAAGGAAGACTTTCCTAATATTAAAAATTTTGCATCTAAGTACCTTTCAAATTTTCGAACAACATACCTGTGTGAACAAACATTTTCAAGAATGAAAGACGTGAAGAACAATTTAAGAATAAACGTGGACCTCGGGTGGGGGGGGGGGGGGGGTGACAATTGAAATTTGTATATATTTCTATATAAATTATATTTCGTTGGGGGGGGGAGGGGCGGTAAACTTTCTTCGGGGGGGGGGGGGGGCACGACCTTGACGAGATGCCTTAAAGAAACTCTGGCCCCTTAGCTGATGTTTAATAGTTAATGCGGCCCTCGGGCTGAAAAGTTTGGAGACCCCTGTTCTAGACTGTTCTAGACTGACGTGACCGTGTGGTTTGTCACGTGATCTTCAAAGAAACCCCGTCTTAGACCGGCTGGAGTTAAGTGCATGTGACGTCACTCGACAGGAAGACAGAGCAAACATCTGAAGCACGGCGTTCTATTTTTAGTCTAGTTTATACGTCATCAGATTCTCAGTCACCTTGACCTTAGCTTTAGACACAGTGGTATATTACGGTTGAGAATTTTTTATATTATTTAACTCGCTATACTTATATCAACCAAATACAAATCGACAGTTTACAATATTAATTTAAAACCACTGTTAACAATCGTATCTTGACGGAACTTAAATATAATTTTTAACTCTTACGCGT